CCTCCTACACTTCGTGACATTGAATCTCAGCAGCCATTTCTTCGACCATTCTTGGACCCCACAGTGGTCCTTCTGTATCTTCACAGTCCGCCTGGTTCTTGATTTCCCGAAATAACTTAGCGTCATCGGCAAACATTTGTATGGAGGTGTACAACGCCAGGCATGTCATTTATGAAACAAACAAACAACAGCTGTAATACACTGCTCAGTGGTACCCACTTGTGAAGGCGGATGACGATTTCGTGCCATTAATCACCACACAATGCTTGCGGTCATGTAGAAAGTCTTCTATCCACGCTAGGACATTTCCCTGAATTCCGTACCATTCAGTTTAATTTTCAGCCTTTCATGGGGTTACTGTCAAGCCTGCAAAATCTAGGTAAATATTGTCGATATTACCACCGTTCCAATATGGGTCAAATATCAATACTTTGAGCAATTATGTTAAGCAGGAGCGCCCCAATAAAACCGTGTTGGCAATCCTTTACAAGGTTGTTTCGTATTAGATATTCCATTGCGGCAGCTCTGATAATACTCTCAGTACTTTACAATATTATGCTGGTCAGGCTCACCCGGTCTATAGATGTTCGTGGAGTGACGATCGCCCTTCTTGAAGATATGACTCATAAGCCACTTCCATTCACTGGGGACCTTTGTATCCAGGCATTTACAAAACAGGATCTTCAGGCGCTCGGCAAGCTCGTTGCTCTCTTAGCACTCTAGGATGCACCATGTCAGGGCCGGGACTCTTTAGCCTGGACAGTTTATTTCTAATACCCTCTTCTGTGAACACAATGTTGGTCAGTGCTATGTCGAACCGTCTGTCCTCAAACGCAGGAAGGTTAATTGACACCTTGTGTGGTGACCCTCAAGCGTTACGGTGTGTAGTAATCATCTCCCAGGTAGGGGTCGATTTGGCACTTTGGTTTGTCTTAAGACTATGCATATACCTTTTCCGTTGCCCGCCAGCGTTAAGTGACTGTAAAGTAGCTGCTTTGGAAGTTCACTGTCGTCCACGCGGGTAGCATAATGATCCAGCGTTGTTGTTCATGGATTATGGTAGCCTCGATGCTTCTGCAGTTGGTGTCGGCAAGAATATATCATTTGTTTTTGTCTTCCCAGCGAACTGAGGAGGGTGGAACGTAGACTATACGTTGCTGGTTTTTCAAGTGCCTTGAGGCCATATAGCAGGGTGGGAGGACCACTGCTCGATATAAACTTTATAGAAAATTTCAGCTTCACACACACACACACACACACACACACACACACACACCACCACACACACACACACACGCTTACACACACACCTATAATAATCTGTCAACGTCTCGGTGGCACATTTACCATCTTCCATCTTGGCTGCTAATTACAGTCTTAATATAATCAGAATAGAATGATCGTGGACGGGACTGTAGGGCCTTTATATGGGGTCGGCCCAGCCATTTGACCTCTAACCAATTATCACTAAACTGGTTAGATCTGGATAGCTGTGTGCAGGTATGGTCCTGTCCAGGTGTCTTGGTTAGGTGAGGTTGTAGGTCACGGCTAACTCACGTCATTAGCAGGCGAGGTCAAGTCTAGGGTCGACCTGAGGTGTGTCAAAAATGTGTGGTACAGGTCTGTAGTGTACTTGCTGTTATATGTGACATAATTCTGGGCTGTAAGCTTTGGTCTGACTATCAATCATTAGAATGTATAGACAGATAATACTGCTATTAAGATGGCTATTAACCTAAGCTAGTATGTGGTATAGACAGATAATACTGCTATTAAGATGGCTATTAACCAAAGTTAGTATGTGGTATATGACAGATAATACTGCTATTAAGATGGTTATTAACCTAAGCTAATATGTGGATATATGAATAAAATCCTAGAATTAGCATCGGCACATTGTTGTTGCAGAATAAAATTTGTCCAATTCGTACTGAGAACCTTGATTTTGTATGAATTTATTGAGCAAAAATCATACATACATACATACATGAGGTTATCGGCCTAAGAAATAAAAGCAACACCTTGTTCAGTTGGAAGTTTTTTGTTAGGGGTAAGAGTGGCAGGTATCACCGGGGCCCATATATGCTGCTATTGCTGAAGTAAATTATGTAATGGGTCTCACTAACCAACATTTCCAATATAATTATTTGCCCTTGATAGTGTAAATACCTAGCGCGTCACTTGGATCAATTCAATCTACTTCAATTGTTTATTCCTTGATAGTGGAAAGGGATCCTAGTGCTGTCACTAGGTAAATTTGCATAACAACAATTGCACATCTGGCAAGTGTCACAAGTATATACAGTATAACATTATAAAGGGGCTTACTGAAGCCTTTAAGGGAAGGAAGGACAGTCTCAACACATAATCACGTTGTTTACGTAATATCTGGCCAGTATGGGAGGATCATCGTGTCTCCGTCAAGGGGTCGTGGAGTGGTGGTCCAGCAGGCGTCACGGAAGCGTTGTGTGGGGACGTCTTAGGAGGTAGTGGATAAGTGTGCGACTGTCGGGTCTTCTCCATAATGTACAAGAGCGTTGCTCAGGGGATGCTGGGATACCAATCTCCAAAAGTCATGCCCAATGATGATACGGGCAGCAATCACGTCCTTTCCGCCAGCGATCTTCCCATAGACGCGTCAGAAAGGGGTCAGGAAGCTACGGAGGACATTGCATCAGGTGGCCGGGGAGTCCAGGGGATGGCTGGCTTCCCGAGCTTCTGTTTCCAGGCGAATTTGGGTCCTAAGCTGTAAAAGTGTTCGAGAAACAACGTAGTCAGGTGTGGCCTTGTTGGGTAGCCAGTCTTGGCAAGGCCATCTGTTGCCCTCACATTCCTCAAGATGCCGACATGACTGGGTATCCATAGGGAATGTCAAGAGACGGCTTGCATCCTGAAGTGCGGATGTTAACCCCGTATCTGGGATGAGGTCCTTATTTCTTGACACAAATGCGATCCTGTCGAGAAAGCAGACTGGAATCGCAACAGACAAGCAAGTAAGGGCAGAACCACTGGGTTTCTTCCTCAGCGAGAGAAGGGCAGCAAGGGAGGGCTATTAGTTCCGCCTGAGTGAGACGCCCCCGTCAGAAACTCTGAGAGATTGATAGGCCTGAAATCAGACGGGGAGATGTAGACACCAGCCCTGGCCCAACCTGTAGCGGGGTCAACAGAAACTAGCAGTGTTGGTGACGACCCTACCTTGGGTACCAGTGGGCGATCCTGAGAGGTGGTATTTGCAGAGAATAACAGGGTTCACGAGATTTCGGGAGTGGTCCACCGAGGGCAATCAATTCAGTTGAAAATCCAGCTAGGAGGAGACGAACCAACAGCAGGGGTTCACGGATCTGGAAGCCAGTATATCGTAACGTGCGTATTTCTCTCTCAAGTCCAGGGTTCGAATCGCCTTCTGGTTTAAATGTATGTCTGACGTAGCACGAGATTTTCCAGTTTTCGCCTGCACCAACATTGATAAACTGCACCACCCATATGGCTTGTGTCCCATATCAGGTGTTCTTATATATGGTAAACAAAAATACTCAGCCTTTGGATACGCCCCAGGTAACTCCACCACTAGCAAACTACGCGTGTATTGTTATTTGCATGAAATTTTCATCCAGAGGCTTGCTGAGGGAATTGGTATGACTGGAACATCAGCAAATAGTAAAATGAGGAACTCTGAGGTAGGCTTGTTGCAATGGGACGAAGCCATAATGTGGGGTGAAATGAAACCTAACCTAACCCCTGTAAATCAAAACCGGTGGTAGCCTGTTGTGAGATGAATTGCCTTATAATAATCGGGGATCGATCATTCCAGCAGCATCAATCATCACTGGCTATTCATCACCATCATTATCATCATCCATTATTTATCATCATCATCGTCGTCATCACACATACGCCATCATTATCGTCATCATTCATCATCATCACATATACGCCATCACACGTCATCATTCATCATCCTCATCATTCATCATCTATCATCATCATCTATCATCATCTATCATCATCACACACACACACACACACACACATTCCATCACACACACCACACACACACCCCCTGAGCTCCCCCGCCCGCCTTGACTACCAACATAAGAACATAAGAATGGAGGAAACTGCAGCGGGCCCATTAGTCTTATACTGGGCAGTCCCGTTTACACCCAACCTCTATTAAGCTCATATGAGCATCCAACCCATGTTTGGCCAATTCAGCGTATTCGGAGTTAATGATGATATTTGGTAACTTGTTCCATTCCATCTTACCTACTTCCTGTTTCCAAACCAGTGTTTACCTATTTCACGCCTAAATCTAAATTTGTCTAATTTAAAACCATTGTTACGAGTTCGTCTCGGTTGATAGTTTGAGTACCTTTTGTAATGTCCCCTTTGTTTAGCCCCTGCCTTCCACTTATACACCCCATCAGGTCGCCCCTCGCCTCTACGCCGTCTTCAAGGAGCAAATTAAGATACTTTTAACCTGTCTCTATACTCAAGGTTCCTTTAATGCTCCCGGGAGATTAGTCTTGTCATTCTCCTCTGAATTCTTTCCATGATTCTATATCCATTCTGTAATACCAGCAGGCCGTTGCAAAATTAGTGGTTATTTCGGTTCGTTTACGCCATTTTGTAGATAACTTCTATGTGCAAATAAATATATCGTAATAAACAAATAAAACTTTTGTTTGGCATATGCATTAAATTCTGATTACCTACATGACGTTACGTGTAAATTATTCAGAATGAATTCATCATGCAGAATCCCCTGTACCTATGGGAATATGTCAACCTGTCGTTTAGAATACGAGTTTGGAGTGGCTGGTCACCACAAAGGAAGCGCTGAATCTGTATCGAGAGTTCTGAGTGGCTGGGCACCAAACGAAGCGCTGAATCAGGAGTCGAGCTTGGAGCCACATTTCTCTGAACCATCTGTGATTTTTTGTTGATCAGTTGAATAAAAAACGTTTCCCATTATTTCTCTGCAGAAGCAACCCAGTTTTTCT